GTTTTTCCTCACTCCTACAAAAAGTTTTTTCCCCCTTGCCCTATACCCCGAAATCAAAAGTTTTCCCTATTTTCCCATCAAACTTTTAAACCCAATTCCTCAAAATATTCCTTCCTTTTCCCAAATACCCTAACTCCCCCCTTTTAAAAAACTCTCCTCCCCTTTTTTTAACTGAAAAAATCCATTTTTTTTCTCGGGTTTTTCTTAACTTGTTAATCCCTCATTTTCCAAAAATTTTTTTCTTATTTTCAAAAAAAATTTTTGTTGATAACATCTCACCCACTCTCTCATTTCTCCCTTTTTACATTCCCAATCACCACCCTTCCCTTAAACCCCTCCTTTTTTTTCCCCTATACCCCTTTTTCCCTTTCCCTTTCAAACACTTCTACTTTGTAAAAACTTCTCATACTAACTTTTTCCCCCCTTACTACTCTCTTTTACATCATTTTTCCCACCAAACGCTCCTCTTCCCTCCTGCACCCACTTTCCCCTTTTAAACCCCAAACTTCTGCTAACACTCAAACCCACTACTTTTTTTAAAAAATACCCCATACCTCTTCAACCCCATTGGCCCCAGCTCTTCCCTTAGCCCATCTATCCCCAATAGCTTTTTTATCTTACCCTAAAATGCCCCTCTTTTAAATTTATAAAAAACCCTTTACCTCTCTCTTCCCTGAAGCTTTTATTCTCCTTGTATCCCATCTACCTTTTCTCTCCCGTTAGTACCAAAAAAAGTGATTTTGATATATTTTGTGGCCCCTCTATAAACATGACCCCTTCCTGAAGTCCTACTCAACAGTCCCCTTTTTTCTACCAATACATAATCCAAAAAAACTACTGTCATTTTCCCCCACATCATATCGTTATTAATTTTATCCCTTTTTCTTAAAAAATGTATTAAACCCAAAAACTAAACCCCCCTTTTTATACCAAAATTTTAATCAAAGGGGTCCCATTAAATAAATATATATTTATATATATATATATATATATTTAAAATTTTAATTTTTTAAATATTTATAAATAATTTTTAAAAAAATTTAATTTTATTTTTAAAAAATTTTTAAAATTTTTAAAATTTTTTTTCAAAAATTTGTTGACTCACCACTTTATGCCCTTTTAGTTTAATCATCAAATTTAAAAATTTTTTTCTTTTTTTTGGGATCAACTTTTAAAACAAAAGGGAATTTTACTATTCCAAACATTCTTAAAGGGTTTTCCCCCGGAATTTGAAAAATTTTGGGTGCCTTTAAGGGCAATTTTTAAAATTACCCAATTCAAAATTTTGGGCCAGTTGAAATAAAAGCTTTAACAAATTGTTTTTTGGTTTATAAAAATTCATTCTAAATTTAAAACCCCTTGGGGAAAAATATCTCCGTGGGTTAAAGGGGGGGGAAAAGGATTTTGGGGGCCCCAAACGGGACTTCCGAAGTCCAAAACAGTCTTTTTAAATAAAATAACAAATATGCTTGCCAAAAATCTTGTTATTTTACCCTTTTTAAATATGTAATTAAAAAACCCCCTTTTATACAAGTAATTAGCCCCAAAATAATAAATTTATTTAAAATTTTTTTAATTTAATATTTTATATTTTTATATAAAATTTAAAATTTTATTTAGTTTAAAAATATAATTTTAATTTAATTTAATTTAATTTTTAAATATTTTTTTTATTTTTTTTTTTCCCCCAGGGGGGACCCAAAAGAAAGAAAAAAAAAAAAAAAATAATTATATATATTAAATTAAATAAATTTCACAGTTTGTTCAACGGGCCGGGGTCCCAACAAAGAAGAATACAAAAGAAAAACCATATCCTCCAATTCCATATCCCAACCCAACCTTTATCACTGCTTTCTTTTCCCAGATCAAGTCGACTAAAAGAAATAACGGGTTTTCCAAATTTTTTTTAATAAAAATTTTTCCCCCCCCCAAGGCAGGGTGACCCAACAAAACGAAACCCAAATCTTCCAAAAATTTTCCCTTCACTAAATTCCACGTCGCACCCAATAATCGCCCCTCCCCTATTTTCCCCTTCATCCCTTCTAATCCAAGCCTGCCCAAAACCTCCTCCCCCCCCACCCTTTAACCCCCCCACCCTTTCCCCCCCCAAATTTTCTTTCCCCATGTATTTAACTTTATCCATTCTCTCAAATGACCCACTCTCTAACCCCCCCCTTTCCCCTCTAACAACCTCTTTTTCCCCACTTCTCTAATTTAACTCCCCCTTCTCCTAATTTCCACCCCAAAAATTTTGCCGCCTTAGACAGGACATCTCCACTGCCTTGTTTTGTTTTTTCAACAAACCAGCCGTATCCCACCAAGGCAGGGTGACCTAAAAAGGAGAAAAGTTTCTCTTTTTAAATTTAGTAATGTATACAGGAGAAAGGGTTACCAGCTCCCTTGCTCCCAGCATTTTAGTTGCCTCTTACAACACACATGGCTTATGGAGGAAGAATCCTTTTCCACTTCCCCATGGATAGGATAAAATAAATTAGAAGAAAACCCAGATGGGTGTGTGTACATATATGTGCGATATGCATATACATACATGTGTAGTATGACCTAAGAGTACGTAGAAGTAGCAAGATATACCTGTTAATCCTGCATGCTTATGAGACACAAAAGACACCAGTTATCCTACCAGCGTGTAAAACAATTACACATTCCCGTTTCACACTCATTTTGCAGGACGGTAGTACCTCCCTGGGTAGCTGCTGTCTACCAACCTACTATCTAGGAAAGCCTAAATATTGTTCTTTCTTTCTTTCAACAATCTGGCCATATCCCACTGGTAAGATAAACAGTTAACCTACTTTGGTCATAGAATGTGATTTATTTCCATGTTTTGAGGAATATTATACCTTGAAACAATAGTAATATCATAGATGTTTCTTGTACATAGTGTTAGAAGACTAAAGCAGTAAAAAATTAAAAAAAAAAAAAATTATTTGCTCCAATTTACACTGTATATTCTAAGTGAAGGAATGTTGGGCTATGCATTTCCCAATGTTTAAAGAACTGAAGAACCTTGAAAAATATCTAATATAATTATAAACTAATGTACATAAACATTAAAACTGAAAAAGAAAAAATGTAATTGACACCATATTTTTCTTTTCTTCTTTCAACAAACCGGCCGTATCCCACCGAGGCAGGGTGACTCAAAAAGAAAAATGTTTAGGTGTAAGTTTCTCTTCTAAATTTAATAAAATATACAGGAGAAGGGGTTACTTAACTCCTTGTTCCAGGCACTTTAGTCACCTCTTACGACACATATGGCTTACGGAGGAGGAACTCTGTTCCATCCCCACTTCATCATACAGTGGATCCTCGGTTCTCATATGCCCTAGTTTTCATAGGATTCAGTTTTCAATGACTTTTTTGTCTAAATTTTGTACCAATTTTTGTACATCCGCTCGGTTTTCGTAGAGTTCACAGTGGTCCGTACCAAATGTATCTGCCTGCCCGTGCCCACACAAAGCATCCCACGCGTTCTGGCTCAGTCTGGCGTTGTTCTCATTGAGTGAACATTACCCCACGCGTTCGGATACATTTCGTAATAATCCATTGTTTTTTGTGCTTGTTTATTGAGTACGACTGCTAAATAAGCTATCACGGGGCCAAAGAAGGTTCCGAGTGCCAGCCCTTTGATAAAGAAGGTGAGAAACACAACAGAATTTAAGAAAGAACTCGTAGCAAAGTGCAAAAGTGGCGTACGCATGGCCGATCTCGCCAGGATGCGCAGGAAGTCTGCATCAATGATCAGTTGCATCCTGGCGAAGAAAAAAGAAATCAAGGAAGCTGATGTTGCAAACAGAGTAAATGTGCTAACAAAACAGAGATCACAAATAACTGAAGATGTTGAGAAGTTGTTGTTGGTATGGATCAATGAAAAACAGTTAGCAGGAGACAGTGTTCTGGTGGAAGAGTTGGTATACAACCACAGGGAAGAGCTAACCACTGAAGAGCTGCAAGACCTTCAACTGGAACAGCAACAGACCACAGCTGAAGAAATTGCTTCAAAGGAGGAGGAAGAGAGAGGGGAGAATATGCCTAGTGATTAAGGACATGTGTGCAAAGTGGAATAGTTGCAAAGTTTTGTAGAGAAATATTACCCTTACAAAGCTGTTGCAAACCATGTCTGCAACATGTTCAATGACAATGCCTTGTCCTTTTAGGCAAATCTTAGAGAGACACCAGAAACAGACCTCTCTGAACAGATTTTTTGTGCGACAGGAGTCTAGTGACTCTCAAGCTGGTCCTAGTGCCAGTAAAAGACAAAGAAGGGAAGTAACCCCGGATAGGGCCTTGATACCTGAAGTCCTTATGGAGTGGGAGTCCCCTTCCAAACAATAACCTCTCCTCCTCCCTCTCCCATCCTCACTGTCTTCCATATGCCAACAAGAGTCTTCAATAAAGGTAAAAGTGATGTTAAATGTTCATTTATCCATTTCATTAGTCATTTATATTTATTTCTCATTGTTTTCTCTATGTAAAACTATAGTTATTCTCTATAAAATGTATTTTTTGTTAATATTTTTGGGGTGTCTGGAACGGATTAATTACATTTACATAATTTCTTATTGGAAACATTGCTTCAGTTTTCGTACAATTCGGTTTTTGTCTGACTTTCTGGAACGAATTAATCATGAAAACCAAGGTTCTGCTGTATTGTGAAACGTAAATATCGATGGCGCATTTACGCTGCTGCTGATGATGAATGATAATTTTTTGTCAACTTCAACACACTATAAAAATCATTAGTTTTACTAGTCTACTTATTTTAGTCTTAATTCAATTCATAAATATGAACCCTTTCGATCTGTAATTTTTTTTTTTTAATTTTCAAAATCTTGCTCTGCACACACAGGAATTTTATTATCTGGACATGGGTTCAATACTGATGAAAAAATACCTTGAATATAGCTCTGCTCCTATAGCTACAAAGAGATATTTACAAATAGATAATTACAGAGAAAATAAGAGGAAAAATTACTTACTCCACTGTTAAGTGATTGTGTGTGTGGTGTTTGCTTAAACTGCACCGTTCGAACCTGCTGTGTCTGTGGTGTGGGTTGAGTTACAACCATCTGCTGCCTCAGTGATCCACCCAGCTGTGAAGTGTTCACTACTACTGGTTTGTTGCTGCTGTTATTAAGTCCTCCAACTGTTGAAACGACTTGTCCACCAGAGGTTATTATGCGGTTATTCATGGATCCCAGGGAAATGGAGTTCTGCTGAAATACAAAAAACATTAGTTCATACCAATTATGGTTGACCATCACTTTAATGACCTAGGTAGGAACCATCCTATAATTGCAGGTGCAAACCAAGACAAAAATATTCAGCATCCTGCTTTTGATCACCTTACCTTGGCGAGTAATGGTCAATGTATTTAAAACAATCATAAGCTTCCACAGTCATGTATACAAAAAACAAAGGAATACTGTCAAACGCCTTAAACAGAAATAAGCTAGAAGCGAGTCAGCTGAAAGGTAAAGAACTTGGAAACTTGGCAAAGCAAAGGTCAGAAAATTATGAAGAATTTGAAGTAGGAGTAAATTTAAAGAAGAATCAAGGACCCTAAGTAAACAGTAAATATAAATGCTTTATGCAAAAGGTTTCTGGCTCACCTGGTTTTGCTGGAGCACAACAAATTGGCCAAGGTTGCCCTTAATAACCTGGGGAGCCTCAGTAACAATTTGGTGTGAATTGTTGTCTCCCTCAGAAGAAACAGCAGCAAGCACAGCTGCTGTACCAGCTTCTCCTCCTGCTGATAACTCTTCACCAGCCATGGTGATTAGTTCACTCCCTTGTTGTAACATATCCATATCTCCTTTGACAAAATACAAACAAGTATAAGCACTATACCATCACATTATCTTTTGATATGCTGCACTATAACTCAAATTAGTGATGAATTTGTTATTAAAAACAAACCATGTCAAGAGCAAAATATAATCTATAACTCTCAAATCAACATCAAGCAATAACTTCCATGATAAAATGAGAAATCTGCTTGTGCTCCAAAAAAAAGTGAAAAGTGAATTTCAGGGGTTAGCTTGATCTTGAATATGGAGGAAGGTAAAGAAGAAAAAGGCACAATACTGTGACTGGAACAATGCACAAATAACCCATACACAGGAGAGATGATTATTATTATAATAAAAAAAGGGCTAACCCCACTAGAGTCATACAGCAAATAGGAGAGAGGAGCTTACAATTATGTTTCAGTCCGACTTGAACCATTTATAAAGTCACACTGGAGCAAAACATCATCATAAGCTTCTCTCTCCTATGCGAAGGCTATTTGTGCACAGAGGGAGGCGTTGGTCGTGAGTATGGTAAACTAGACGAGATGGCAAGAGGTTTTTAGGTAAGTGGAGACAGAGAGTGTAATGTTAACAGAGATAATATGTTTGATGAGAGTGGAAGTAATGTGTTTGATGTTAATGGATGTAGTGTGTCTGAAGAGGGAACAACTAAACCCATAAGGGCCATAGAGTGCTAGGGAATGGGAAGAGTAGGGAAGTAATCAGATTTGAGATGAGGAAGGGAAGGGCAGCTTCAATACACTGCATCAAATCGTTCACTATCATCTAGGTACCCCTCTTTAAGGAAGGGAAGGAAGAATTCCATGTAAATTTTGGAAAATTAAATATGGGGGCAGGAGAGTTGCTATATCCTTCCTTTGTGAACATATATTGTTTATTTTGGCTCACAGTCCAAGGAAACTGTAACCCCTTATACAGTGGAATCCTCTAGAGATCTGAACTCTGGCAGGTTACAATGTGATAATTGTAATTTAAACTATGTTAAGTGTTAGTTATTTGTTGCCATTTAAAAAATTTGTTTTAATCTATTTAGATGATTAAGATAAAAGTAGAAGCTAGCTACTAATGCAGCAGAGAAGTTTAGATTAAAACCTTATTATTACATTCATGGAGGAGCACTAAACCTGTAAGGGCCATACTGTGCCTGGGACATGAGACATTCAGATTTGATTCAAGGAAAGGGAGGGGAAGAGAAGGAAGCTCCACATTCTTTGGATCAAGTCCTACATTGGTACCAAGGGTATATACATTATAACATATCTCACCAATAACTTGTGTATGTTGTGTGAGAGCATCCACTTCCATGGGCTGGTGGTGGGATGTTTGGTGGTGTGTTTGTGACTCAAGATGTTCATGCTCATCCACACCTTCACCACCAGCCACCTCCACAATATTACCCACAGTTACCCCATCGGATATCAGCACCCCGCTTGTGTCAACAACCTGAAAAATAATAAATGGTGCAAGTTACTTTCACTATAGCAATACTGAAAAAAGTCTGCAAGATACACAGGAGGTTATACCAGTAATTAACATATATACATACATGGAGGAATGGTCTTTCATTACAAGATGCAATAAGTGGTTTCTTATTAAAAAAAAAATACATGACTGTGGAAGGTATCAATAGTTTCTGAAACAAGCCTCTTGAGGAATTCTATCAGGACATTCTGCCAAAGTTTATATGAAGTATTTCTAATAGTCATACAGCACTTTTCATTCTGACAGTATCAGAGAGACAGAATTTCCCAAATCTACACACCCATGGCTCAACCCTCTACTTCGGTCTTCCCCTTTCATATCCAGGCCAGACCTACTATCTAGAGTCATCCAAGAATCTTCCTTCAGAAACTAGCAACACCTTCCACATACAGTCAGGATATTAACCCTTAAACGGTCCAAACAGATCGACGTTCAAATTCGTAGTGCTACAAAAGTAGATTACTTTTTTTACATATTTTCAAATATAACAAAAAAAAAAAAAATGTTGATAAAAGCTTTTTTTACACATTTTCACATGTAAAACAAAAAAAAAAATCTACATTTTTTTACATACTTTCAGATGTTGAAAAAACGTATATATACGTTTGGACCATTTAAGGGTTAAGAAGCAGTATCCATGGCATCACGGACAGAAACATAACTGAATATATTTCTTTTTTCCTTTCTTTTTGGGTCACCCTGCCTCGGTGGGAAACGGCTGACGTGTTAAAAAGAAAATAAGCACCACAGCTGATGTTCAGGGACTTACGCTCAACTGTATACTCTCAACACTGTGCTATAACAGCAGTTGGAAGGACAATGAAAAGCTAAGAGATTAGCTTCATTCTACACCATGGACACCTAGACACAGTTCCAGGAAAATGTTTAGTAGTTATGACCCCAGGCCAGCCTCTTGTTCCCAGGGACACCTACACAACCAAGGAATTAGCAAGCAGACTCCAGAACAGGAACAAGTTGAAAACACACACAACGTTTTCACCCTTGCCTATGTTCTTTTGAGGATTAACTATAAATTTACGGTTACATTTCAACAGCCATTTAATAACCAGTCAGACCAGAGGATAGTAGTATCAGCTTTAGTCTTCACCAGACACACCCTTATACAGATACAGGATACAGAAATTTTCAAAGTGCCAAATCCCTTTTCCTTAGCAAAGTCACCAACTTGCTCACATGCTCATTCCACTAGCACCTCTCCTGCGACCCTCACTCTGCCTACAGTATATATGCTCACATGTTTCATGTAAAGTATTTTCTGGCATATAAGGCACATGACAAAAGCATCATAATGGTAAATCAGTAATAGTATTCAAGGACTAATGACCTTGATACTTTATGCTAAAGCATAACCCAGAGCCTACCCTTGACCCTGACCTTGAGCAAATAAGGTGCACGGTGATTTTCCAAGACTATTTGTGGGAAAAAAAGGCACACCTTATATGCCAGAAAATATGGTACTCTCTTTAGACATGAAGCAGCTTGGATTCCCAACAAAACATTATCTTAATAGGGTGTCCATTCTGCATTTCTGTCTAAGTTTTGAAACCTGTCAGTATTTCATATCTCTTATGCGCACAGTAAAATGTAATTATGAGTGTGTGTGCCTTGACCATAAACTTTGCAACATCTATTAATATAAACAACACACTAATTATTAATATGTACATTAAAATTTATTACTCAAATTTATAATTCCATCAATCAGAAATTTTATTCACAAGAATACATCTGATAGAATGGATTGGAAAATATAACTTTGTAACTAAGAAAAACAATAATTCTCAAAAGTATTAATGTCAGTAAAAAATTAAATGCAAAATTTATGCAAATTACATTTTTTTACAAAATTCCCTATACAGTACTGTATTTACATGAATGGGAGTAGAATGTTTACTAACATGAGCATCGGTTGGTTCATCAAGAGCCTCAAAGTCTGCTGCAGCTTGTATGTTGAGTCCTACAAGGGCCTCTAGATCTTGTTGTGTCAGATGACTCGATAACTCTCCCAGGGCGGATGCATCGATAAACACAGTGTTTCCTGTTTCACCAACATCTCTGTCTGAATAAAGAGGTACTGAAATTAATGACTCTTACAGTAAATTAAATGTCGAAAACCTGCATCTACATGTGTTATGTTATTATTTATTACTTTTTTTTTTAACCTTTTTAAGATTACAGTAGAACCCCCGGATCCACTGATTTGGTATCCATGGTTTCAGTTATTCAGTTTACTGTGGCCCTAAAATAACCCTTAATTTTGCATAATAATGGACCCAAAGTGCAAAAGTAGAGAAGCTAGCAATTTTTCAAAGCCTAAGAGAAGCCATGAAGTGCTTTCCATCAGTAAAAAAGTGGTGATTCTCCACTTATTGTGAGTAATTTATCAATTAAACTTTATAATAGGTATATATAGGACTTATATATAAGGTTTGCTACTATCTGTGCTTTCGGTATCCACAGCAGGTCCATGGAATGTATCCTGCGCAGATACGGGGGGCCCTACTGTATTGGTACAGTACATGATTTATATCAGATGAACTTTTTTGGTGTATGTATTTGCGAAACTGATATCTAGTAAAATTGTGTGTGCATGCTTCATGCCCTAGCAAACAGGTTATTTAGAAAGAAAATGAGCATCATGCGAAGAGACTAATGATGCTACGTATCATATTAAAGTACGTATTTCCGACCGGGGATACCTTACCTTTGATGAGTTTCAAGAGTCTTTCTACTCTCGGAGCCCGGCCATGGGTCAGGTTCATAGAAATATTTAGGAATATTTACAAGTATCCTAGGTAGTAGGTTGGTACACAGCAACCGCCCAGGGAGGTACTACCGTCCTGCCAAGTGAGTGTAAAACAAAAGCCTGTAATTGTTTTACATGATGGTAGGATTGCTGGTGTCCTTTTTTCTGTCTCATGAACATGCAAGATTTCAGGTACGTCTTGCTACTTCTACTTACACTTAGGTCACACTACACATACATGTACAAGCATATATATACATACCCCTCTGAGTTTTCTTCTATTTTCTTTCTAGTTCTTGTTCTTGTTTATTTTCTCTTATCTCCCGATGAAAATAAATGGTATAAAATACTGACACAAAGGAAACATAAACACATATGCAGTTTAATGTGATCCTTTATTGACAACGTTTTGCCCACACAGTGGGCTTTTCCAAGTCACAAACAGATGTGTTTGTGACTTGGAAAAGCCCACTGTGTGGGCAAAACGTTGTCAATAAAGGATCACATTAAACTGCATGTGTGTTTATGTTTCCATTCTCTTATCTCCATGGGGAAGTTGAACAGAATTCTTCCTCCGTAAGCCATGCGTGTTGTAAGAGACGACTAAAATGCCGGGAGCAAGGGGCTAGTAACCCCTTCTCCTGTATATATTACTAAATGTAAAAGGAGAAACTTTCGTTTTTCCTTTTGGGCCACCCCGCCTCGGTGGGATACGGCCGGTGTGTTGAAAGAAAGATTTACAAGTATACATCATACTGATAAATAAAATGTATCAAATGAGAAACAAGTGTCAGACCTCCTGGCAAATTAAATTAAAATAAAAACTTTGATTTCTACAGAATATACTGCATGAGAAAGTTACAACAGATAGGTCTGCAGCTTGTTTGATTACAGATTAGTTACAAATATGAGAATACATAATCTAGTATATTCTAAGAAAAGCTTCCATGTTATGTGAAGCATTTGAAACAAGTGTCATGACTTAATATGTTGCTCTATGTATGGCTATCACTACCATTATGTTGCATGAAGTAACACTAAACAGCAAATAATGTGATGTTAGTGGTGATATGTACAACACTATTTCAGCCTGATGAATACAGTTAACAAAAATGTGCAGAATTAATAGAAACATGCCAGGTACCTCCCAGTGTCAAATGTGTACACGAAGTTCCTTCGCGCAAGAAACATTGTTTTTAATGATATAATTAACGAAAATCAGCTAATTAATACATACTTTTTGAGGAAAATGTTGAGTACGAGGCATACAGGAAAATGTGGCAAATGTTTTCTCGACACCTGTGCGATAGGTATATCAATGATTTGTAATTTCATGGCAAAGATATTTTGTTGCTTTTATCTTGTTCAGGGGATTGCTGCAGAATAAAATGCATAAAATCAAAATCAATGTGTATATTTTCACAGTTCAATAGCAAAGAAAGATGAGTTCCGATTGTTATTCTACTCCCAGAGCTCAGCCATGGGAAAGACTCGTCTGGTGCTTGCCTGATCGACCAAAGTGTTGCTCCTGATGGTCCGCTATCCCACATATCCATCACAGCCTGGCTGATCTGGCATAGTAAACCTATTGTATGTTTTGATAAAAGAACCAATTTTGGTACAAATGTAGACCACTACAGTGGACCCCCGCATAACGATCACCTCCCAATGCGACCAATTATGTAAGTGTATTTATGTAAATGCGTTGGTACGTGTATGTTTGGGGGTCTGAAATGGACTAATCTACTTCACAATATTCCTTATGGGAACAAATTCAGTCAGTAATGGCACCTGAACAAACTTCTGGAATGAAAAAATATCGTTAACCGGGGGTCCACTGTATATAGCAAGCAAATTCAATCAGTTTTCAGAGCTGGCAAATGCAGAGCCCAAAATGACTTCAGGCTGGGAAAGTTGACATGAAAATATTTCTGAAGACTGTGTAAAGATATTTACAAGGAGTTAACCCTTTCACTGTCATTACCCCCAAAATTACCCCTTTGACTGTCGCAACCCCAAATCCTGAGCCGTCTCCTGGTGTCGCAAAATAATTGAAAAAAAAAAATTTCTTGTGAAATGATAGAGAATCTTTTCCTGATGGTAATGACACCAAAAGTATGAAATTTGGTGGAAAACTTAAGGAATTACAGTCTCGCGAAGTTAGTGACCTCAGTGATATTTACAAACCGGCAATTTCGCCCACTTTGAGCCCTATTTTCGGCTAATTCCATTGTTCCCATCGACCAAACTCATAGCTACAAGAAACTGCCCATTTACCGATTTCAACTACTCAATAAAGTAGTCAGAAATTGGCAATTTGGCCAATTTCACGCAAATTAAAAAATATGCCAATTTCAAAATAGGGTCCAGAATGAACAATGCAGACATTCCTGGCTCTAAAATAACATTTTATTTGTTCATCAGTCACATCTCCAGGCCCCTCTGATATTACTCTTGCTTTCTATTCCGAATTTTTACTCAAGCAAAAATTAGAAGATTTACTGTTATGCAGACTACTGCAATATTGTAATGATTGTATAAATAATGTCAACCCATTCACGACTGCATATTATAATGGCTAGCTGGACATTTATTGCACAATTTATTGCACATTTGTTTACTCTTGAACATCACCAAAAATCAAACATTTCCCCTACTTTGAGCTCCATTTCAAGGTCCTTTACATAGTAAAACCAATCAAAATCACCTCCATTTCTATATGTTTTCCATTCTATCAAAGGTGACCATGAAAACGAGAATATAACCATAAAAACTATATGAAAATACACCTCAAAGTCAGCATTTTAATCCCAAAACACAGTCGGAGTTTTTTTCCCTCATTATGCACTGCTTGCTGCAGGATTCTTTTTTTTATACTTCACACACTGACCACACAGACCCATTCTCTCACATGTGGGCCTACCAGCTTTCTCCCACTTGATTTGAAGCGGCTAGAATTTTTGAGTATATAAACGTCCAACATATTGGCTTGTAAGACGTATATGTACGACCAAAACAGTCAAAGGGTTAAAAAGGCTCACAGTGTGGTGATTTAATAAAATGATCTGAAATATAGTAGGGAATCTTTTTCTGAAGGTAATGACACCAATAATGAATAATGTGAAATTTAATGGAAAACTTACAGAATTACATGCCAGTAATGAGATTAATGTTAACTACTGGTAATGGGATTTAAGTTACATGTTGAATTTGGCCTCAAAGTATTTTTGGAGGCAAAGGTACAAGAACTACCTGCTACACTCTCTGCATACCTGCTACGTTCCTTGCATGCCTGCTACACACCCTGCATGCCTACTACACTCCCTGCATGCCTGCTACACTCCCTGCATGTCTGCTACACTCCCTGCATGCCTGCTACACTCCCTTCATGCCTGCTAAACTTCCTGCATGCCTGCTAGACTTCCTACATGCCCGCTACACTTCCTGCATGTCTGCTACACTCCCTGCATGCCCGCTACACTCACTGCATGCTGGTTACACTCCCTGCATGCCTGTTACACTCCCTGCATGTCTGTTACACTCCTTGCATGCCTGCTACCCTCCCTCCCTGCCTGTTACACTTCCTGCATGTCTTCTACACTCCCAGCATGCCTGCTACACTTCCTGCATGTCTGCTACACTTCCTGCATGTCTGCTACACTCCCTGTATGCCTGCTACACTCCCTACATGTCTGCTACACTCCCTGCATGCCTGTTACACTTCATGCATGTCTGCTACACTCCCTGCATGCCTGTTATACTCCCTGCATGGCTGCTACACTCCCTGCATGAGATTAGTGGTCACTATATTACTCTCTCCAATCACAGTTCTGTGGTCAGGATGTCAATTGTGTAAGCACGTCCCTTCTCAGACACACACAACCATGCTTTAGAGTTCAGCCTTCTGTTTTGCACTTGCAACATTACACACAACCCTTCATGAATTTGCATGTCACAAGCTCATAGCAGGTGTGAGCTGCCTCTGACAGTCCTTGTTCAGTAGGGCTCATACAGCCCCTCAATCTTCTTGGTCCAGCCCTAGTTGACTGGGGATGGGAAGACAGTTCAGATCCTTGTATCAGAGTGGGATCCCATACATGGTTTTCCTGGTAGGCTGCCATCTTGACATGCTCATTCAAGCTGCCTTTGTTGGGCAAGGGGATCAGCTGCACATTGTTAATATTATTATTATTGCAATCAAAACTAAGTGCTAAACCCACAAGGGTCATACAGTGCTAGCTGCAATTATATTTTACCAATGTCTGTGTATGTCCTGATTCTGTTACATAGGAGAATAACAAACCTCTTGACGG